TATGATTCTATTTACCTGAAACGTCCATGCAGGCAAATCCACAGAATGAGAAAGTGGGTTAGTGTTTGCCAAGGGCTGGGAGAGGGGAAAACAGGAAGTGACTGCTAATGGATGTGGGCTTTCTTCTTTGGGGTGATGAAACATTCTGGGATTAGTGGTGACGGTTGCAAAACCTTGTGACATATTAAAAACTTAATTGGATACTTTAAAAGGGTGAATTTTATGGTACGCTAATTACATCTCAAAAAAAATTGTGAGGTGGAACTATAAAAAGAAGCTAAATGTACACATCATAACATACGTACCATCAAAGAGAGACGACAGGAAACCAATTACATTAACTTGAAAATCACTGCTGGACATTGGCATTTACATTCATAATAACAAATATGAAAAGTACTGAATTTTACTGCCATAAACTGAATACCAACATAAAGAAAATCGAGAGGAAAAATTAATTTGATTTCCATGAAAAATGTCCAAGGATAAATATTTGCTTTCTTCCCAGTATCTTAGCTGGTTGGAGGCTGAGCTCCCCAGAGCAGATATAAGAACCTTTACATTAGATCTGCCAACGGCAGACAGACTTGAAAGAATTCCAGTGTTAGAACCTGAGCCTCCGACGCAGCCTTTGGGAAATGGTAATGGATTCTCTCCCAGCAAGCACGTCACCGCGGATGAGCATTCCACTGTGATAACGACCAAGTAACAGGGTAGAACTTTCAATTACCAGCATCTCAACCTTAGAGACTGGATGAACATTTTCTATAAGGCTTTTCTTGGATTCCTTGAATGAATACGTGTGACTCTAAATGAACAGTTTTTCCAAATAAACACAGCTCACGTTAAGAATACTGAATCACAAGCATATTTTGTACACATACAATGTAAAAGTGAAAACATAACACAACATTCTAGAACCATGCCTGGAACATCACAGGCACCCAATAAATATTTGTTGAATAAATGTTTATTATAGTTAATAATGTTTACTAAATAATTTTGATCAAAAAATAAGGCAAACGCTAACAATATTTCTAAATCAATAGAAAGCTGATTTCTCTCTTCATCAATAGAAAGTTGTGTTTTCTTGCTTTATTCCTCATACGTAATACCACATCCCCACTGACATTCAAACTGACAAGTTAATGGTTATTAATAAAGATAATTAGCCCATAATAAGTAGAAAGGATATTCTGATCAGTTATAAAAGTTCCTGCCCCTCACGTTATAAACCTTTCTGAAATAAAACTTCACGTCAATAAAACCACAGGAATTTGTGAGGTGATTAGTTTCTCATGTACCCTGAGGTTTATTTTAGTTACTAAACTAAGAAAAGATATATTAATACAGTTTAACAATAAGTTGTCCACTCTTCACATTCTCGAACCCTAAGACAGATCCAAGCAAAACATAATTCATCTCACTGATCCATATCGGAGCTCAGCAGGAAGGGAAATTCTTCCTGAAGAACGTTTGAAAGCGTACTAATTTACCAATGCCAAGCAGGTCAGCAACTAATTCTACATTACATTTTCCTTTTTTTAAGCCTCTTTTAAAACAGGGAAATTATTTCTCAGTATCTAACAACTGTGGGTGCTTGAAATACTACAGAGGATCGTCGGCTGAACAAAGAAGTAGAAAGTATCTTCAGAGATCATACCTCCACTTTCAGGACACTTCTAAAAGTCTCTGGGGATAAGATTCTACAAGTCCACAAGGTGTGACAGACACCGTCAGAAAATGTCTTCTTCGATCCCCCTGACAGCAGAGTAAGCTCTTTTCTTCTGTCCTCAAGGAGACGTGAAGATGACACGACTATCAGCTTTTGTATCATCATCTTTTATGTTTTGTTGGAAATCACACTACTCAACTTTCTTTTACTTACGTTCATTAACTCTTCCTTGCTTTGCTGACATCACAAAATAACATTTTCAAAGAAAATGTAGATCGTTATTTGGTCTCCGCATGGAAATGACTTTCTAAGCATAAAAGCAATGTATCAAAAAAGGAAAGATTTGGGTAAAACACAAAAGGCAATATAAAATTGTTCAAATTTCTATAAATCAAAAGCCATCACAAATTAAATGAAAAGGTAATCGTGGGGCAAATGCCCCATATGACAAGGAAAGGTAACATCCCTACTCTATCAAGAGTTCACACAAATCAGTGTCCGGCCAAGACAGTGCCCCCAGCATTCCCATCCTCACCCATACAAGAAATTGCCAGGTCCCTACAAAAAGAGAGGTTACAGCTTCTCTCTCCCAGCTGTCAGGATCACTCTGCCTCTCTCTTCTGGCCTGGTCCTTCGCCCCCTACCTGGATGTACTCTTTCTTCCAAGCCCTGCTAGACTGAAGATTCAAACCAACAGCCAGCCTGGTCTTGATTTCAGACTTTCCCCAAGACCCAGCCTCTGAAACACAGCTTTCTACCTTGTTGTGTAGCCAGCAGGCAAGTAACAACTCGCCCCAGGCTCCAGGGACACCTTACCAACCAATTCCAGCCAAAGCCCAGCATATGGGCTCCTGCCTGGGCTGGGGGAGAGAGAAATCAAACAATTAAACAAATGATAAGCAGAAACTGGGACTCCAATATAAAAACCATCAAAGAGCTTGTGCAGGCAATTCAAAGAAAAGAATTATCTAATAGCTAACAATACGACTTTTTAATGCTTAAACACATTAATAATAAAAGATGTGAATTTAAAAAATGAGGTACTATTTTTATCTGTAAAATCAACAAAGATTTTTTTTTTTAATAACAATGCTAACACAGGTATCATAAAACTGATGGTGGGAGGGTAAATTGGTATCATCTTTCTGAAGGACAAGGTGCCAATATTTCAAGAGCATTCGCAATGACCCTGCCCTTTGATTCTGTAATTTTGCTTTCAGGAATTGATCTTCAGTAATCAAAAATCTGGTTGACAGATTTAAGTATAAAGACATTCATCTCTACTTTTTTGTACTTGAAAAATAAATATCCAACAGTAAGTAAATTGCAAATAAATTATGGTTCATCCATAATGTGGATTATTATGGAGCCAATAAAAATGACGTAATAATAGCCGACTCTTCTCTGGCATGAAGGACCATTCATTGTTCTAAGGCGTTAACACGTGTCATTTACTCCTCACGACACCACCACAAATACAACCAATGCGGTAGGTCCAGTAATGTCTCTTTTTTAACACTGAGGAAACTGAGGCCCAGAGAAGTTAAGCAATTGGCTCAGGTTACACTGGGACGGACTCCCATGCACTTATCTGAAATTCTAAAATCCAAAAAGCTCTGAAAACCAACGTTCTCATACATTTGTGGCAAACTCATCTGTTGGCAAAACCTGATCTGAACTGATGTGAAACTATGTATAGTCTTTATCCCACTTACAGTGAAGTCATCTTACTAAAGAAAAATTAATGTGTCTGATTACGGGGTGCTGCCCCAGACCCCACTAGAAGTGACACAGAATATACACTATGTTATTTTTTTATAATTTGAAAAATTCTGAAGTTTAAAACACAACCAGCCCCACGGGCTTCAGATGAGGAATTGTGGTGGAGCTGAAACTCAAATCTAAGCGTCCGTCTGACTCTGGAGTCTGTGCTCTTAACCAGTATGTGCTATTTTCAGAGACTGTTTAATGACATGGGAAAACGCTTATAATTCAAACATTCAAGCATTTATTAACTACATTCTGTGCCAGACACATAGACAAAACCGCAGTTGTGACAAGCGCTACTAAGAAGAGAGAAGCGTATCAGAAGAGCCAATGCCCTAGGGAGGTTTGTCCTAACAGAGCGGTCAGAGGCAGTTTTCCTGAGGAAACACGTGCTCTGAGATGTGAAGGAGGAGCAAGAGTTAACTAGACTAGAGAGAAGAGGGAAGGGCAGACCTGGCAGAGAGAAGAGCATGTGCAAAAGCCCTGGAGTAGGAAATAAGCTGGTGACAAAGGACTGCAAAAGAGCCAGTGTAACCTGAACGCAGAGAACCAGGGAGCCTAGTGTAAGATAAGGCTGGAGAAGAGGCAGAGGCCACAGGGCCTCACAGGTGGAGGAATCATTTGCCCCAGTTTCCCTGGGGGACTGTCCCAGTGTAAATAATAGCACTGTCTTTTATTCTCAAAAGTCTCTTGGTCTGAATGACAAAGTATATGGTCGCTCAGTTTGTAGGCCACATTAAAGAGCTGTATCTTTATCCCAAGAGCAATGAGAAGTCATGATGGAGTTTAAGCATGGGGGTTGGGGGAAGGGGGGGATCATAACCAAACTTCAGCTTATAAAAGATTACTCCTGCTGCAAAGAACGGATGGGAATATTGAAAGGACAGGGTGAGTACCATTAGACCAGTCAGGAGTCCACCACAGGAGACCGCGTAGAGATGATGGTAGCTTGGTCTAGGGTGACAGCGGTAGAAACAGAAATAAGTAGATGGGTTTGAGGTTGGTTTGAAGATAAAATGAACAGACTTTGATGATGATTTGGATATGGAAGGAAAAGGAAGGGCAGGTGTCAAGGATGAACCCAAGATTTCTGGCTTCAAACTAGGCGGACGATGGTATGACTCACTGAGACGGAACACTGGAGATTTACGTGAGTGAGAAATTTAAATGCGTGAGACATCCACGCAGGGGTTGTAATTTGAAGCCATGGACCTGGAAGTGTATAAAACAAGGAGAGAAAGTTTAGGTTCAAAATTTGTCGCTGTTTCTTTGCATTCACAGGACCCGCCTCCAAGGCATGACCACCCTATTTTCTGGTTGAATATCGGACTTATTTGGTGGTCACACAAAAGAGAAGGTGGCCTTAGCTGGTGATGTGGGACGAGGGGTGTCAAACGACTTGCAGCATGTAAATAGCCCTTACAACGAATTCTCAAGCGCTTTACGTTTACTCGTCACAAAGCAGTTTCCTATACACGCTCCTTGAAGCCCACAACTTTGTGAGAAACTATAATCTGCATTTACAGATGAGGAAACTGAGGTAGAGGGCTTACGTTACCTGTCCACGTAGTCAGTAAGGAGCTGCTCTCGTGCATACCATCTCCTCGTCTGTTCAAGGGACTATATTAAGTGCTGTAACAAAGAGCTACCATATAATGTAGTCCCACCAGGTCCCAGGCTCTAGGAGATTAAAAAAGAGAGAAAAGGAAAAAAACACGCAACTTCAAAACATTTAAGGATGCATTACTTTTCCCAAATCACACTTACCCTATAGTAAGTTCGCTTTAAACTTTCATAAAGGTTCCGGTCCCAAGATGGGGTGGAGGTGAGAAGGTGGAGACGAACCGGGTAGCCAGGAACCACCCCAAACACCAGACCCGGGGCAAATGGGGTCCCAACGGCTGGCCCCGGAGACACTAGGAGAGGATGGCGGGGGCCGCCCGCCGACTGGCAGCCGGAGGCCCAGTGGCCAGTTTGCCGGCGCGTTGCCATAGCAACGGCCGGGTCCCGCTCCGCCCGGGCCGCCCGCCCCCTCCCGTGGGGCCCGCCCTGCGCGCCGACGCCGGTGGCCACTCACGCCGGCCGGCTAGCAGGCTGGCCTCCGACCGGCGCCCCCTCTTCGCGCTGACGGTCGCCCAGCCCGGAACTCCACACCTGGAGAAACTTTTCGGCCAGCGGAGCAGCCGCGGGGAGGTGGACGGGGGCCGCGCGGGGACAAAGCGCGCCGGCTGCCGCGAAGCCCCTTCTCCCCGCGCCGGCGCTGGCGAGGAGGCGCCCGCGCGCCCCGGGTGCGCTCGGAGGTGTCCCCGCGAGCGGCTCCTGTTAGGGACGGACCTGAGAGTCCTGTTTCGGGGACAGAAAAGCAGCCACACGTTACACGAAATTAACACTTCCTCCCAGTGATATCACGGTACTGAGCTGATGTGCAGGCCAACACTCTCACTCAGGGCCCGAGGCCTCGTGGTCCAGCCAGTTGGAGCTGGGGGCTGCAAACCTTGCAATGCAGTGGGTGCAGAGCTGGCCTAAAAAGAGGGAAAAATAAACCGGATATCAGTGCCGAGGGGAGGCCCGGGGTGGAGGAGGTTTATCCCACAGAGGGGTTGAGAAGGCTCCTGACACACACCAAATGACAATTCCCAGAAATATGTTTTAGCCACAAATCACTGTGGAACCATCTGAATGCATGCCCCCTGCAACAGAGGCTTAAACACAGGCTCCAGCTGTATGCTAATGAATTTCTTGACCTGAACTAGGAATGGCATCTGCGGACATGGGTCCTGCTCTCTAGCAGCTGTGGGGAAGAAATTCAACAATCCTAATACTAGCCTAATTATTTGAGGCAGATGTCCTCTAAAATTTGATTGAGAGCCAATAACTTGGGACAGCAGATCGATTCATTTTGTTGTTTAGAGGTAAGGGTACATTTAGCAACTGGTTCATCCTGTCAGTTTCATCAGAAAACTCAAAATGGCCATGGTGGGCAACTGGTAACTTCAAAATTTGCACATTTTCCAAGCAAAAATAATCCCCACCACGTCCTGTACTGTAGAACATTGGGGTCTTGGCCAGACTTTGTTTTGGAGAAATACAAAACTGTTGTTTAACCAGGGTCTGGAATGGTCTACAGAAATTGTCTCTCTGCCCCTCCCCCAACCCTGCCCCCATCCAAGCATGAATGTTAGCACCACCGATGTCCAACAAAAGAAGATAAACTCTACCATTTGCTTCGTTGAGCTGTGAAGTGCGTGGATCTGCCTTTAATCAGCAGCTATGAAGCCTTACACTCCCGATCTTTACCAAGAAATAACTTTGAACTTGTCCACTTCCTGATACCTATGAAGAGCTGGGTTGAGAGAAACTGCACTTATGGAGAATTATTGGAAAGACATGCGATGACCCCTCCTCTATATAGTCTCAGGGTCAGTCAGTCCCAAACCTGGGTACATATCAGAGACATCTGGGGAGTTCCATTTGTTTTGCTGTATTTTGTGTTTAAATACAGATTCACAGATTACTCTTCCAAGAATTCTGATTAAATAGATCCCATGAAACCATTTTTAAAAGGTCTTCAAGTGAGTTTGAAAAAGCCAGGCTGGGAACCACTGATCTATGTTTTACGCTGAATTAAGCCACACCATCAAAAAGCTACGTGTTTGTACCACTTTGTCTTCACTCTTGCAAAATTGCCTATACCGAGTCTTACTTTATACCCTTATGCCATCTGCTTATATTAAGAGATTATGTTTAAAAAAAAATACTCATGACACCTCTGCATTTACTAGAGGTATTATTTTAAGCATGATGTTTATTACATCTCTGTCGCAGATTCCTATCAGATTGCCCAGCCCAGGGTTTTTCAAACTTTTTGGACTATAGTCTACCAATATATTTTACATTATGACCCAGTACACATGTACCTGTACATTTAACAACTGACACAGCTTTATAAAATATTACTCATACCACATGCTATGCACCCTGATACTTTTATCTCTTTTTTAATGCTGGTTTCCACTTTTTAAATGGTTTCTTGACCCCTAGATGAGTTGCAAGTTGCATTTTAAAAACAGCAGTATAGTCAGATGTCTTTTTCTGGAAACTAGTCCTGGATCCTCAAAAAAGGTAACTAGGTCGCCTGGCTACAGCCGATGATGCCAATGGTAGGTACCTGACTCCAGCCAGGCCAATCATAGCCCTCTCCCCGGAACGTGGAATTAAGACTGAGAGATTTCAGTTTTTCTCTAGGTAGCTAACATAGAAACATATCATAACACAGAAAATTAGGAGCTGTCCGCAGACGTGCTTTCCTACCATGTGACCTGGAGAAATGCAGAAAACCAGGCTGCAGGGAGAATGTGAAAAGAACAGGAAGAATGAAAAAGATTCACAAAGAGAAGAGCAAAGAGACCAAAAGGGTTCTGATGGCTTTCCATCTCTGATCGTAGTATCTTCTGAAATGAGCTGCATTCCTGCCTTTGAATTTCATGTAACATTTCAGATCTTTATAATTAAGTGCCTTCTTCTGCTTAAGCTAGTTCAAGTGGCTGAGTTTCTGTTGTCGCAACCAGAATGAATCTAATTACATTGGTTTTATAGGGCTGTCCTAACAAAACACCACAAACTCGGTGACTTCCACAGTACAATTCATTACCTTGCAGTTGCACAGGTCAGAAGCCTGGCACGAGTCTCACTGCACTGAAGTCAGAGTCGGCAGGGGTTTGTTCCCCACCAAGGCCCTAGGGGAGAATCTGTTTCCTTGCCTTTTCCAGCTTCGAAAGGCTGCCTGCATTCCTTGGCTCATGGCCCTTTTCCTCCATCATCAAAAGCAGCAACGTTGCATCTTTCTGACCGTGCTTTTGAGGTCACATCTCCCTCTGATTCTAGCTGGGAAAGGTCCACTGCTTTTAAAAAGGACCCGTGTGATTAGATTGGGCCCACCCAGAAAATACAGGCTAATCACCCACCTCAAGCTCCTTAATCACATCTGCAAAGTGCCTGCTGCATATAAACTAATATATTCACAGGTTCCAGGGATGGGGACGCAGACATCTGTGCGGGGAGGGGCCTCCCACACTAGGACAATCACTCTATGCCCCTTATAGGAAGACCCATGGAAGAAATGTATTTCAAGCCTGAGTGCTAGAAAAAAATCTTTTTCCCCTTAGAGAAAAACTGACATCCCTTTTCCTTATGGAGAAAGCAAACCATGAAATTGATCACATTTCCCTTTTCACCTTGGCTTCCAGGAAGATAGGAACCAAATTTGCAGCTCAACTTTAATAACTCTGTCAAACTCTACAGCTTACAGATCAGCATTACAACTTTTTCCTGTTCTCTGTCTTCCATTTTCCTTCATTTCTACTTTCATCTTTTAGTATTTTTTTATTGTAATGACCATATTATTTTAAACTGCTTCAAATATTTTGCACTTCTATTTCTTCTGCCTATAGCCTTTTCACCCTTCAGATCTCAGCGCACTTGTCACCTCCTCAGAGAAGCTTTCCCTGATCCTGTCTATCTAAAGTAGTCTCACCCCAAAGTCCATCACCTTACCCTACTTGGTTTTCTTAGAGCACTTAACACCATCTAAAGCAATCTTATTTGTTTTCTTTCTTCCCTCACCCAAAGTTAAGCTCCAAGGCAGTAGGGACCCAGCCTCTTTGTTAATTGCTTATTCCCAGAGCCTGGGACAGTGCCTGGTACTTAGTAGCTATTTAGTAAAAATCATGGCATTGGTGAATGAAAGAATGAATGGAAGGAAGGAAGGGAGAGAGGAAAGAAGGAAGGAAGAGAGGCTTTGTAGAACATGGTGAAATATAGATGGATACATAAATAGGTGGGTAGATCGATTGACAAATAGACAAATATTCATTTCTAGTGTGCCAATGTCACTAACATTTATAGAGAGGAATCAGAGAAATGACACAAGGAAGTAAAACAGAGCTCCCTAAAATGTGTACATAAAGGTACTGGGTTTTCTTGGGGAACCCTTGATGTAAATGCCTTAGACAAAAAGAGTTTGACGTTTTCAAGTGACTCAAGGCAGCTACATTAAATATTGTGGCTAGTTACCATAGCTGAAGTCATCAGTTCTCAGTGAGATAATGGATTGCAACACCATGACCACTAGCACGGACAGCTCTTGACACTGCCAAGGGCACTCAGTCTATTTCAGGGGTCATTACTGCCCAACAATCTGCTCTCATTCTATTCCCGTAATTATTAACTTCTCCACTGGCATCCAGCGCTATATGCTGTTTACTTAAACACCATGGTAACATCGTTGTTACAACGCGGTCTCAAATTGCTTGACATTTAAGGAAGAGAGATCAGAATTGAAGTTTGTCACTATAACAAAACATAGGCACAGTTCATATGGTTTGTTCCAGGGTTTGTTGACCCTGTTGGTAAAAATACCAAAGTTTGGGGGTAGGGATGGACTTCAGTTCAATTGATTCACGCATTAATTAAATTTATCTCTGTTGCTCAAAAGATTTTTAAGAGACTCTACATCACAAAAAAACCACTCCATAATTTTTCTGTTCTATGAGATAAATTCAGAGATGTTTAGATCATTATGTGTTATATTAAGATTTCTTAAATGGGGACACATCTTTGAAAAGTGTATAATGCAAATGTAACTTTTTCCTAATGAGATGTCTTTGATTACTGGTAGGCTCTACAAATTTATGCAAGTCTTTCCATTTTTCTCTTCTCCTGCCTTGACAAAAGTAGAACCATACTTTATCCCCACAGCTCAAAATATAACAAACATTTGGCAATTAAGTCCGTTTGTCTGATCAACTGTGGATGTCTGAACCAACCTCCTTGTCAGATAAAACTAGTTAGAGTTCAGGTTAGTGCACACCAAAACCAAGTTAATGGTTAATGGATTGGAAGCCTTGATATTGTTAAGATGGCAATACTCCCCAAATTGATCTACAATCCTTATCAATCCTTCAGTGCAATCCTTATCAAAATGT